AGGTAAACAAGCTTAGCAGACGACGTTACTTTTTACCATAAACGGGGTTTAAATAGTGGGTTTTTACCTTCAATTGGTACGAAAGTTGATACAGAATATCAGGCCTACTCTTTTTAGAACTTTAGGGGAAACGCTATAAAAAAAAAATCCCACTTTTGCTTTGAATGTTATTGTTAATCATGTCCGGTCGCCGCATGATATTTTGGGGGGTTGTGTGCAGTCACATAGGCAGTAACATGACGTCATGAACAATTTTCCGGTCAGTCGTTTTCGCGGTGCACAGGAAACATGTTTCAGTTCACGGCTGTGACGTCAGAAACATGTTCCAGTTCAAGGGCCGCCAAAACGTGCTCCAGGGTTGTTTGATTTTAAATTTTTGTATAGACCGCTTGCAGACGCGTTCGATAATTGACGCGCTAAGGTGAGCGACGCCATGTTATGGGACAAAAGGTGCGTGAATTGATATACGCCTGTCCCACAACATGGCGTCGCGCGCCTTCGCGCGTCGATTATCGAACGCGTCTGCAAGCGGTCTATAGGGACTGTGTACTATTTGCAAAGGTTCAAAAACAATACTGCCAACAATTATTATGGAATTCAGGTAGCCTACTTGATGGAAAGTAATACTATCGTGGATGTTTACCGGTACATCGATTTATATAATTTAGAAAACCACAAAGCGCACCATTTACCGATTGTACCGGTATGCTAGTGTTATATTCAGAGTAATTGAAAAATACACGGACATGGCCAATTTACATGCAAATGTCATAAAGTGTCAAAAAATATTTGGCATTATATAACCGACATACAGATCCTTGTCATTTGATTGGTGGAGCTCACATCACGTGGCATTCGTTATTGCTCCCATTCATGCCGCAGCTCAAAAAGTACTATCCGCCCATGGGAAATACTATTCAACAGTTAGGATCATGACGCGGTATTTGTGTGCAAATGCATGCTGGTAAGCGCGTTCAGCGTTGCGCGAAGCGCGTATTGTTCCAAAGAGCCAGCGCTACAGCGTTGGGTTCAATCATTTTCGTGAAGGGGTGGTTTGGAAGAGAAAAATACATTTTCTTCCAGTTTTGTATTGAAAAAAAAAGTTCAAATATATCAAATGACAAGGATCTATATGTCAGTTATATAAAACAAATATTGAGTGGCTTTAAATTGTGAAATGGGAGGAATATTATCGCTCGGTAAAATCTGGACTTTTCCATTTCACTCGGCTTCGCCTCGAGAAATGAAAAAGACCAGATTTTACCTTGCGATAATATTCCTCCCATTCCACGCTGAGCCACTCAATATTTGTATATTATTAAACTAGTTATATATACGTTATTCACTTTCAGGGGCGTAAATCCAGGGGGGGGGGGATGGGGATATATATCCCCCACACCTTTTGACCAGGGGGGATGGGCTATTGAATCATCCCACCCCCACACTTTTTCCTGTGAGAAAAAAAATGCAGATTTCAAGGGATTTTTTTTGAACATCCCAACAACCAAAATGTATTCAATAGCACTGAAAAGTGGAGAAACAAAGTACAAAAGCTCTTAAAATGCAGCATGTTGATGTAAGCGCAAGTACCGGTACATGTATACATATTGATATACATCTGTATCCTGAAGAGCGCCCCCTACTGTAATGCGGTGTCCAGCCCCCCCCCCCCCCTCCCTTCAAATTTCCACAGCTGGGCAATTTTTGGATTTTGATCATCCCCCATCCCCCCACTTGCCAGCACATTCACAATTTTACACCACTGTTCATTTGGCAAAATACTCATCATTCATCCTTATTTGTTTCTCAGTAAAATTTAGAGGACATGTTATTGTACATGTAAGGGTCTTTCTAACCTATTGCTCATTCTTCCATGGGCAAATCCAGTTCGTAAACATTATCTCGAGGTTTCTGGTTTTATGATTATCACACATATTTCGCTCATTTCTAATGGCCATGAACTGACACTACAACGAATCATCACAGAAAAGAAATTTTACGACAGCAAAATTCCCATCCAAATTCTGGCAATTTTTGGTGGTGAAATAACTGTAGTACCAAACTCCCTTGAAAAAGGCAAATGGGACAAAAAGGTGCGTTTACAAGGATTGCATTAAAAAAAATTACATTGCATGGGCCCTTTAGTGCTTGCTGGATATTTACCATTTTTACTTTCATAATTTGTTTAAAGCTATAGTCCATCATTTGCAGCCATCCGAAAAGTAACTGGCGTAATTATTGTTGAAAAACGTACTTGGTTGAAAGATAGTAAGGGGACTAAACTCCCTGTGAAATTATTCTTTCTGGCAAGCTGTCATTTTGAAGTAATCAACGAAAGAAGGCCTTTCCAACGGTGCGTCTTAAGACGCACCGTAGGAAAATTTAAATTAGTAGTTCGTTTTGTTAGTCGGCGAAGCGCGCGCAAGGATTGGCACGACGCACACGCACACGCGCACGCGGTTGCTATAATTCGTCGGATCAGTGTGTGACATCGCGTATAGCTGCTATCGGCTCAGTGAGAACGCGTCTCGGATGCTGAATTCAAGCAATTCAAAACATGATTCAGCAACTTTTGATTTGAAATTGAGATCCTAGAATGCTGTTTTCTCGGAATATACAGCTGAAGCTGAGCTGAAACTTCATCAGGTTAGTTGTTCTGTACCCTTCTTTAGATTTTGAACACTTTTGTTGCTTCAAACGAACAAAATGCACAAATTACAAATGATGGACTATATCTTTAAATGCTCCAAGAGTATACTTGGCAGCATATTTAGAATGTATAATCAATGAGACACTGAAAATGTGATACTTAACTGGTCTTTTTTACACTTGTAAAAAATATATATGAAATGTCTGACGCTTTGATGCATGCTTCACAAAGTAAAACAGTACACAGTACACAGAATGGCAAAATAAAGCACGCTGCCAAAATTTTCTGTTCTTCAGATTTTTGTTTTCATTAAGTGACGTCAAGCAGTGTTTCCACAAGTACGAGTATTTTGCCGTGAGTACGAGTACAAGGCAAACATAAGAGTATGATTACAAAGCAATTATTTCCATGAGTATGAGTATTTTGCCGTGAGTACGAGTACAAGGCAAACATAAGAGTATGACTACAAAGCGATTATGAGTATAAGTATGAGTATTTTGCCGTGAGTACGAGTACAAGGCAAACAAGAGTATGACTACAAAGCAATTATGTCCACGAGAACGAGTATGAGTATTTTGCCGTGAGTACGAGTACAAGGCAAACATAAGTCTTGACTACAAGGCGATTATGTCCATGAGTATGAGTATGACTATTCTCAAGTACGAATACAAGTAAGGGTGTGAGCATTTTCCATGAGTACAAAGACATTTCAATGGGTACATATGTTCTAAAGTTTCAGGTATTAAACAACTGAAAAAGCCTTCCAAACAGTCAAAAATTGACTCTTTTCCCTGTATGTTCCTCTTAGAAAAAGAAACGAACATTTGCAGGAGTACAAGTACTTTGCCATGAGTATGTGCAGGAGTACATGTAATTTTTTATATACATGTATGACTTGAAGCTTTACATGTGGGGTACTGTGGTCCAATGGTTACGGTGTTCGACTCGTGTGCCGTGGTACATGGGTTCGAATCCTGACCGTGGGAACATGGTGCTTGTGCTCTTGAGCAAGGCACTTTACAATTATTGCTTCGTCCTTCGGATAGGACGTAAAGCAGCAGGTCCCGTGTGTTGTGTAATGCACGGTAAAGAACCCAGTAATACTTATCGCTAAGAGAAGGGGTTTGCCCCGGTGTTTCTGGCAGTGGCTGCAATATGCGCCGCAGCACCTTGTAAACCCTTATAAGGTGCTACATAATGGGTCTCAAATTTTTCATAATCTTTATTTACCTTTCTTTAACAATAGACATAGCTCCAGCGCCTCGAGTACCTAATAGTTGGTAGATACGTGCGCTATATAAGACTCCGATATTATTATTATTATTATTACATGGCGGATGAGATAACTTAGAAAGTTTGTGGGTAACACCATATGGAAAGTAATTTTTTCCAGTGAGTACAAATAAAAGAACATGTACATACTCATGAAATGAGTATACAGTAAAAAAAAATATGTACTCAAGTACGAGTGCAAGTACAAGAATGAGTACATACTCATGAGCATGAGTACGAGTACAACAATATGTACTCAAGTACGAGTATCAAGACAAGTACGAGTATCAAGACAAGTACGAGTACAAGAACGAGTGCTACAACAACAATGACTTGAGACTTGACATGAGGGACTTGCTGACAATTTTACTACCTGCACAGTGTACTTTATGATCGATTTCACAAACTTGGTGCGAGCTGCAAAAAAATTTTAATAATGAGTTTTTAAAATGTTTTTAAACTCTGTGATGCTGTCAAACAAATTTTCAACAAAGTCTGCACTCTTTTCAGCCCCCCCCCCCCCAAAAATGCTTCAAACACAGCCTGTACGACCTTAGAATTGACTTATCGCGGGAGAATCGCGTCAACGTAGCTTGAAATATAGTCCAATTATATATACAAATGGAGGCGGAACGCGCACAATCTGAAACAAACAACATTTAACGTACACAATTCCATAGAGTTGACTAAGGGGTGTGGCTAACTCGCAAACGGCGATAGGTCACTTGACCGATCCGTTAAGCCCCGCCCATGTGACGTCTTGACCAATCGCAACTGTGATTAGTGTTCGGCATGCGTGCACAAATGTCCAACATGCGTGCACTTGCATGTGACGCGCACGTCTGGCGTACAGTATAGCATTGTAGAAAATGCACATGTTGTTGCCTTAACGCGGAGTGGGCGGGGCCAATTTAATGGATCCGTCTATCTAGTTCGTAAGTGACTTCGTCATACACGCGCGCGCACCACTGGTTACTAGTGCCCATTGGCTAAGCACATTAACTTTGCACTACTACCGGTCCTGTTGGTTGCAATGCTACTCACTGTGCAGTGAGATAGGTTGACCTACTGAACTCACCTGAGACTGACAGGAACCGGCCAATGTCGGAATTCTTGGGCAGTGTTTCCCGGATCAGCTCTGGGCAGACGGGCAGTCCAGTCACCCTGGCGTGGAGGTTAATCTTTGTGGTCTGGTGAAGGCGAAAATGGAAGACCAAGTTCCAGGCAAGCAATTATTAAGAGAATAAATGTGTGCTCGAGAGGTTTTTATCACTCTTTTAATACCGCTTAGAGTCTGGGTGCTGATAATTACCCGAGCCGGAGGCGAGGGTAATTATCAGCACCCAGACTCTTAGCGGTATTAAACAGAGTGATAAATACCGACCGAGCACATATTTATTCCCATTCATAAATACCTTATCCTTAAAAAAAATTCAAATAATTCGTTCAAAAAATCCCGATTTTGTTCAACAAGTTCACTACATGCTTTTTGAAACATCCCTCTAGCAAAATAATGGAGTGTTCAGCTGGCGAGTAAGATGTAAACAACCCTTTTTTGGAGATTGACGCGCGCGTAGCATGTTCTGCGCGATGTCACGCAGAACGCACCTGGGGCGTTGCGTCTTGAATTTAGAACTATAAAATTCCGACTCGCACGTAGTGTTGCGCATGCCTACGTGAGGATTGTGAACGTTCAACCAATGAAACGGTAAGAGGCACTGGATTTTTAGGAGTCCACATTTTATTGTGACACTGGAAAAGTCTTTAAGACCAGCTAGCCATGTCTTTATCATCCGTTTAAGACCGGCCACGTGACGGGCTCTCGACCAATAGGAATAGCTAAACTGTCTGAGGTATTTATGAATATAATATAAAAGGATTCCAAGCACCTTACGAACACAAAATTTACTGAGTTTTCCTTAAAATTTCCCTGAGAAACTTCCAAATTTCCCTGAGAAATATTTTCACTTTGACGAGGTTGCTGGAGAGTCAAGAGCAGGTTGCAGCAAAGGCAAACAAAACTTTTGAAATAAATGCAACAGCGATAACAAATGATCTGTTTTCAGCTCAAATCAACAAAATGCAGCCGAATCCTGGATTAGGGTTAGGGTTAGAGACAAAATGACCCCAAAAAAAATCATTTCAAAGAGCAAAATCTCAATTTATAGACTCTACCCAAACTATCCTCATTAACCCTAACTCCCTAGGCAATTTTGCTAGGATGCAACCTCAATCCTGCAAAGTCCTCCAACTGCCTCCATGTAAAAATTGCATACAGCCCCAATCCTGCAAAATTGAATGTGGTCCCTGGAGGGGTGACCACTGCCTCAATTCCTGCAAAATCCTCCAGCAATCACTGTCAATATGTTGAGGCAGAGCCAGTGACATCCTGGAGCAGGGTGGAGGATTTCAAGTATAATGTCGGCCTAAATTTATACACGGCTGAGCATAATATAACAACCCAAGACCTTGACACAATCCTCCGGAATCAGCCACACAGTTTTGCCAAATAGCCTCAATCCTGCAAAATCCTCCATTTTGCAAAGAGGATTTTGGAGGATTATGGAAGGGTAAGATTAGAGAAATACAAAATAACAACCTTTTCTAATAAGATCATTGTACAACGTCAAAGTACTACGTGATCAGTTTCCCCGTGATCGGCCACCATTGCAGTAGGCAAGTGTTTGGTTAGCAGCCACGCGCGTGTAAACTAGACAGTAGGGTTAATGTCACGTAAAATAACCACAAACTAAATCAAATGGCATAATGGTCACTACCTGTGCCTCATACGCTTGTCATAATCGTGCCGACCCAGCGCTGGGTGTTGGCTCCACGTTTCTCTCACAGTTTTTGTCATCCATCGGAGCTTTGAAGGCTTGCCTACTACCTACTGTGCATGGCATAGCCCCATAAATGTGGCCTATTTACTGGACTGCCTCCGTAAACATAGGCCACACATCCACATGTACAAAAACGGGTCGCACTTTGCCAAATTTTGATTTTCACATTTAGGCTTAGTTTGTAGGATTTTTTGGCTTAAGAAGCATACTCACCCTCTTTATAGGCTAGTCAGAAAGTGCTGCCTTTTTCAGATGTCTAATTTTTGTGAAATTTCATGTTGAAATTTTGATACGCAAATGTGTAAAAAAGAATCTGGAAATTTCACGAAAAATATACATCTGAAAAAGGCAGCACTTTCTGATTAGCCTATAAAGAGGGTGAGTATGCTTCTAAAACAAAAAAAACCTACAAACTAAGCCTAAATGCGAAAATCAAAATTTGGCAAAGTGCGAAACGTTTTTGTACATGTGGATGTGTGGCCTATGTTTACGGAGGCAGTCCAGTAAATAGGCCACATTTATGGGGCTAGGCATGGCACTATACAATCTTTGCCTACTACAATCTTGACGCCGACTTTCCGGTACCCAGATGTAGGCCGGGTCACATGGGCCAATGAGAGAGCCCTATTGAACATCCATTCAATTATTTTGTACATTATTTTCCTACCATTTCCTCCTTCTGGGGATGGTCCCTGTAAATAGCCATCGCCGCACGTCGTAGCGCTGCATTGAAGGCCGACAGTGTATGCACGGGATTGTTCAGGACCAAATCGCTCAGATCCATGTTGGACTCAAACAACGTCATCGCACTGAAATCAAAACATGAACACAGATGTATCCTCAATGTACAGGTTTTCGAGGGTGTACTAGGATTTATTTTAAGACATAGCCTTCGGTTTCCACATGTTTTGGGCTGGCGGTGGAACACGTACCGCACACATAACAAAATCAACTGGTTGTGTGGTACGAATCTGCGCGTGTGCGTCGCTACAAGGTCAAACCTCGAAAACTTGATGCCTCGAAAACAGGTACACGGACGATATTTTGTTTTCCGAAACGAGCCACTTTTACTGAAAACCTTCCTTAAAGGCATATAGGAGCATTTGCTTTTCATGCGTTTTGTTCATTTCCGATAATAACGTCACTCAAAATCCACAGAAGACTGTTCAAAGCCTATTACCTGTTGAAGTTTCATCTCAGTAGATATTACACTTTTCACGAAATGGTGAATAACCTTTTGATCACGAAACATGATTTCGTCTATATAACTCTTTATTTCCAAAAATCAGTCAAGTGGCTGATCTTGCAAATCACCTACACTTGATTTCTCCTAAATGACAGCAAGACAGACGGTATAATTTCAAGGGGTGTTTAGTACCAGTACGATCTTTAATCCAAGAAAGCTTTTTGATAATTAAAGGGAAAATACAACATTTGCAAAAATCAAAAAATAAAACTACCAAATCATTTTGAAATACCTTGCTGGACTGTTAGTGAATGACAGTGTAAAGCATCCTGTAAAATCATGGCACCTGGTATACTGTCATTTTCAAGAAAAGTGATATTTTTGTATCAATTTCCAACGCTGATCGGCCGACCAGCGTTGGAAAAAACTGGCTTTTTTTCAAATACTGGCCCCAGTTGACCATCGCACTTGTTTGCAATTGATTACACACCTATGAACGGGTACAAGCCAGCTAGACTGGTTCCCTGACCTTACAATTCCCAATGTATGTAAACTGCTCTGTTTCTTCTTATATGGAGTCAGGGAACCAGACTACAGGAAAATGATTGTTTTTCTTGGTTTTTATAGCATTTTCGAACCCAAAACCTCAAAAAAGTCAGTGTAACTATATTTGCTATATATTTCCAACCCCCCAATGCCATCCATTTCTGAAAATTACAGCAAAAGCAAATGATGTATATTCCCTTTAAATAGGTTGCTTTTGGGATAAATGCATGTGATCCTATGTGCCATAAATCCTTTAAGACCCATCACTGTGCAGGGATTTAATGGAACATTCTTTCAAAGGTTTCAAGCCCATGTAGAGTAGCGGTGACTTGGCTCTACCCTCTCCCTCGACACGACAATTGCGAGTTTGATTATTTACAGAAATACATACTCAATTATGATGGGGAAATGGGTACCATCGTCCTCTTGTAGCAGAATATCGATCAGGTCATCTCGATGTTGCTCGGTAACATAACTCTGAAGAATCACTGAAATAGAAAATATCAAATGTACACATATATGTAAAAGTTGAAAACATTACTCTAGAAGCTCTTACACATGTCTGGTCAAACTGCATTTGGAGGAGCTTGTCTTTTTCAGATGGAAGAGTTCTAGTGAAAAGGAAATTTTTTTTAATTTCAGTCATTATGATTACAGTGGAATTCAAAAAGATTGACGATTGACAAATATGGGATGTTGAAAAGATTTGGCCTGACATATCTATCCAGTATCAATAAATGAAATTAAAATAAATCAGCTGGCTGGATTTGAGTGAAAAAAAAAACAATCATGGGAGGAGAGTCAATGTTGAGGCTAGTGGTGGGAGAAATCAGAGATTTCAAAATCCGGTTATCCTAATTTTACTCAAACCGAATAACAGTTATCCGATTTCCCACTCAGCTCACAGTCCTGCCAACAAAGGGAGTTACGAGTGACGTGCCCCACGCAATGCCGTACAAGATGACTTGATTATACTTTGCAGGATTGACATGACCACTCGACCTTAAAAAAAACAAAAACAATTGAGAGCTCTAATGTTCAAAACAATGGGTGGGAACACTATGATCAGATGAAAGGGCAGGCTATTCATGAACCAAGAAGACTGTTAGGGCCCATTCAAATGTTTGATGTTTTTAAATTTCAATTTTTTTTATTTCTTGAAATGTGGGTGGGTCAAGTTAAAGTCAGGACCATAGAACCAACTGACCTATCGCCGTTTGCGAGTTAGCCACGCCCCTTAGACAACCCGATGGAATTTTTGTATGCTAAGTTTTGTTTGTCTCAGATGTTGCGAGTTCCGCGTCCATTTGTATCATGTAATTGGACAATATTTCACAAGCTGCGTTGACGCGATTCTAACACGATTCTACACCGCTATAGGTCGATTGGGAGATGTTGCAGTTGTTTTCTTTAGTTTGTGTCACAAAACAAATTGGAAAGCCTAATGTTTTTAAGGTTGGTTTCAAATTTCCAACATCCAAACCGAATAGTGGAATTCAAACCGAAATTTTTACAAATTTTAATTTTTAATCCCACCACTAGTTGAAGCATACATGAACTTCTCCTATGAGGTTAAAACGCTGGTGTCATAACTAGAAGTTATGTTACACCCCGACTATAGCAATTGCCTACACTATGGACCATGTGAAATTCGTTTACAAATTGGACGCTGTGGTAACTCGATGCCAACATTCGGTAAATTGTTCTCTTCTGCACTGCATACTTATCTCTTTAAATGTGATTGGTGTAAAAGTGGTGACATAAACTGTCTAACCCTTCTGCTAACTGAACAGTCACAGACAGTCAAGAACAGGCTAGTCACCAACAGTCAGATCATATCTCAATCAAGTACTGTGACTGTGACTAGTCAAATTCAGTCAACAGACATAAGCAGGCAAGTGGTGTGCACATCTCGCTTTCATCCACAGTCAAAGCATACCGGTAGCTGTATCAAGTTACATAAACAGTTGCAGTCAGTCAATCCTGCTTTATGTAGGCTTGGAGCTCTTAACTGTTGATTAATTTTGACTGAAAGGAGAACTTGGCGCAAAATGTATGTTTGCATAGGAGGGTTTATGTGGGCAAAATAACATGCAAATGATGGGTTGTTTGTCGGCTGCCCGTTGGTAGGACTTCACAGGTAACATTATGGGCTACAGTTAAAACCACTCGGGAATGTACATCATTGGCTTTTGCTGTAATTTTCGGAAATGAACTATTCAAGGGGTTAGTATAATAGATCAAATATTGTTACACTGATATTTGTGAAGTTTTGTGTTTGAAAAGGTTGGAAAAACCAAGAAAAACAAAAATGTTCAAGTAGTCTGGTTCCCTGACTCCACAAAAGATAAAATGGATCAATTTATAGATGATGGAAAATTGTAAAGCAAGGGAACCAGTCTAGCTGGCTTGCACCCGTTCATGAACATGTAACCAATAGCAAACAAAATTTGGACTGAAAAAATGGTAAATTTGGAGCAGTAGTTGAAAATAGTTAGGTTTTTCCAACGCTGGTCGGCCGACCACCGTTGGAAATGTATACAAAAATACCATTTTCTCGAAAATGACTTCACACCAGGTGCCATAATTTTACAAGATGCTTGAGACTGTCATTTACCAACATCCTAGTAAGGTATTTCGTAAAAACTTGGTAGTTTTATTTTTCGATGTTTGCAAATGTTGTATATTCCCTTTAAGTTGGAGAAGTCTCATCTATAGTTGGGACAAGCCCAACTGTAGTAGTTGGGACCATCAAAACTTATGTTGGGACGTGGACGTACATGTAACAGTTTATGCAGCCTGAATATTAAACTCAATTTTACACATTTTTGTAATTTCCCAAATTTGATTACAGTAACAAGACGTTTTATGTGAACAGGACAGAACTGAATTTTAAAAAATGGGTTTTTTTTACCTGTGTGTTCCTCCGTTTCCTCACTGCTGAATTCGACACCAACCCTTGCTGACATTTTGGCTATTTTTATCCAATAAACATGACCCACTTTCAATGTTGGAAACTGGCACCCACTACTTCTTGTGAAATATCATCCCTCCTTTCAATCTACGGAAGACAAAAAAAAGTCAAATAATATAACCATGGCTTCGGTGGTGATAAATACAAATTTGCTGACAAAACACTACATAATGTTAGTTATTAAATCTCCAAGCACTTTTGCCCAGATTCTCTCACGCTACCCGGAGTGACTACGCGGATATAGCCCCATAAATGTGGCAAATTTACTGGACTACCTCCGTAAATAAAGGCCACACTTGGAACTTGTACCTGAAAATGAAGAACTTTGTCAAGTTTTTATGACAAGTCAGTGTAACAATATAACCAGTGATAACATTCTAATCCTTCAAATCCATTTATTTCTGAAAATTGCAGCAAAAGCAAATGTTGTAGGCCCTACATTCCCTTTAAAGGGATAGAAAGTTAGTCTCCCCCCCCCCCCTTCAGACATCTATATTTGATTTCCAGGTTCATTTTGCACAAGTTAGCGTATCTAAATTCTAACACGAAATTACACGAAAAGTAGACGTCTCAAAAAGGGGTGACTCATTTTCTATCCCTTTAAAGAAGGTGAGTGTGCTTCTAAAGCATAAATAATGCGGGGGTTTGTGTAGTTTAGAACACATTTTTTCTGTCATGTCTGTTATTATTGTTAAGTTCACAAAGTAGGCTTAATGAAAAATAAAAACTTGACAGGATCTTTGCTGATGACCATAAAAAAAGTGACATTTTGTGATACGGCACGGTGCATCAATCACGTCAATTTCAACTCAATCAAATGGCGCGCTACCCAGTAAACTCTTGGGGTCGCTCTTCAAAATCCAGCTGTGTACTCGACTCGAACTCGGAACTCGTATCATGCATCGCGTCGCGCATGCCGTATTTATTGCATAGTGTGGCAGGTAAACTTGATTGACTGAACATGCAGGTTGGAAACTTTGGCCTGGGGAGCCATTAACATTGGGTGCTTCAACCTACGGTACAACGTGATGCTGAGTTTTAGTTGTGATTGAGAGAGAACCACAAGCTGCGCTCACCGAGTATTGATTGAATACTTCTGTGGTTTAAAAAAGGCACACGGGTGCCTACTCCTTCAGTCCTGACCTTGACTGAATAGGGTAGGACTAGAGTTGCCCCACTTGTGTGGCCTCCGTATTGCTGGGCTTTTACGTACAGGGCGCGCAGCAATACCGAGGCCACACAAGTGGGGCTGTTGTGCCCATTCTTGAAAATCACGCAATCTTAAGAATGCGCGCGCATTCTTAAGAATGAGCGCGCATTCTTAAGAATGAGCACGCGTTCTTAAGAATGAGCGCTCATTCTTAAGATTGCGTTGGAATATCACGTGCACAATTTATGAATTTTGCGCAATCTTAACAAACATTGCACGACATAATTATGTTAAATGAAATGTATAGCGGTTAAAAGGGAAACAATTTATATAAAGAGGAAAGAAAATGTTCTGTGCTTCTGAACTCGTATAACTACGATAATTTGAATCAAATTAAACCTGTTATTATTGCTTTTTTCTGCCCACTATGGGAAGTTTTGTAATAACGGAGGACTGGGAACTAGTCTGGGAAGTGCTTTGTTTAGGCTAGACAAGTTACAAGTCCCTGTATGTATTATATGCATGCCACAAAAAAAAAACGATGTCCAGAAGCTGCCAAAATTGCTCTTTTGACTAGATAGAATCCAGCTCTGCGACGTAATGGTGGGGTGTGAACAATAAATTGGTGGCAATTTAAATGGGAAATAGCATTAGCACTATGGGATGTCGCAGTATTCATTCTCATTCTTCACATTCTTCATTCTTACGTTCCCCCCCCCCCCTTTTATTATCCCAAAAATCAGAATTCTTTCCACTATTATTATGTCTCTTATTTTTTTCCCGATCCCCCCCCCCCCCCATATCAATACGCCTATATTTATCATATCCACTCTACTTTTCAGCGCCTTGCGTTGAAACAGTATAATTATTAAGAATCAGTGAACGAGGATGCAGCTAGACTTGCCAAGCGCAGCAGGTGCTCGGTATCCACAAGACCGTTATCTTGTCGCGCATTCTTAAGAATGTGCGCTCAATCTGGAAGAGTTATTTTTTGCGAAGATTGTGCAAGGATCTAGTTGCACAATCATAAGAATGTGCATGCGCATTCTTAAGAATGCGTGATTTTCAAGAAAGCGCACAACAGCGCTAGACTAGCATGACTAGCCCCAAAAATGTGGCCAATTTACTGGACTACCTCCGTAAATATAGGCCACACTTCCACCATGTACAAAAACACATGTAGAACTTTGTCAAATTTTGATTTTCACATTTAGGCTTAGTTTGTAGTTTATTTTTGCTTTAGAAGCATACTCATCCTCTTTATAGGCTAATCAGAAAGTGCTGCCTTTTTCAGATGTCTATTTTTCGTGAAATTTAATGTTGAAATTTTGATACGTAAACGTTTGCAAATGAATCTGGAAATTTCACCCAAAAAATAGACATCTGAAAAATGCAGCACTTTCTGATTAGCCTATAATTTAAAGAAGGTGAGTATGCTTCTAAAGCAAAAATAAACTACAAACTAAGCCTAAATGTGAAAATCAAAATTTGACACAAGTACAAGTTCTACATGTTTTTGTACATGGTGCAAGTGTGGCCTTTATTTATGGAGGTAGTCCAGTAAATTGGCCACATTTATGGGGCTAGGGCTAGACTTACTAGGAGCATGGAGGTAGAACTACCTCCATGCTAGGAGGAGAAGCATTGATTACGCTAGCCCCACTAGTGTGGCCGTCGGTATGCTGTTCAGCGCAGCATACCGACGGCCACACTAGTGGGGCTATGATTACGCATGACACCATGAACTGTGCAGGGGCGGATCCAGGAATTTCCGTAGGGGGGTTTCGTCAGCAAAATATATTTTTTTTAATGTAGACACGTTTTTTTCTCAGGACACTTGGCCTCCGTCAAATAGGGGGGGGGGGGGGGACCTCGTTCCATACTTCGAATGGGAGCACTGTTTAAATCCGACAATTATTAACACTGAAAATATCACAGAATAATGTATACCCCCTAACCACGCTGGCTTTGTACGTATTTCATGCAAAGGCGGACATTATTACTAGCCAAAAAAAATTGGGTGTCGGAGCGGGGGGGGGGGGGGGGGTTGCCTTTTTTTTATGAATTTCTATGGGGAAAAAAAATTTTGACAGCTGTTTTTTTTGGGTTTTTTTTTACCCCCCTTCCCCCCCCCCCCCCCCCCCCCCCCCCCCCCCCCCCCTCTGGATCTACGCCTGCAGTGATGACGGGTTGCCTTCTTAAAATCGTGTTAGGCTAAGAATGTGTTTCTTAATGGCTAGTGATAGTAACGGAGGCCTTCTTTCATTTTAGCTAGGGCCTGTGTTTTTTATCATTACAAATTGACTACGAAACTGCAAAGAAATCACCAATTTTGTAAAATGTAAAATGAAATTTTCTTCCATGCGTCTGATGCGAATCAACGTGGCTGTGCATTCACGGTGTATCGCATGAATCATCAATGTTAGCTCTTGGTCCGTGTCTGGATTTGGATGCCAGTTGTGTTGGAGAACTGGAGCTAGCCTAGAGAATGAGGGCTTCTGATAAGCCAGAGAAACTGAACTAGCGCAGAGCCAGATCAATCGTAGACTGTTAGTTGACCAGTGGTTGATTTTGATGTAGCTTACGCCTGCGCACACTATAGCAACGCGCGAACGCCTCTAGTCAAACGATGGTCAAAAGTCCTGGCTCCCCGTTGTGCTTTATGAAGGGCACGGCTACTGGTAACCCGAGCAATGCAACCGTGCCCCATGCTCCTGTTCCTAATAGTTGACTAGAGTAGTCCTGTCGTCCAATCATTGTTCTTCGAGTGAAGTTAGTTGAACCGTGGTTAACTACAGTTTGCACCCGAACTTGCTCTATTGTAGCCCCATAAATGTGGCCTATTTACTGGACTGCCTCCGTAAACATAGGCCACACATCCACATGTACAAAAACGTGTCGCACTTTGCCAAATTTTGATTTTCACATTTAGGCTTAGTTTGTAGGGTTTCTATGCTTTAGAAGCATACTCGCCCTCTTTATAGGCTAATCAGAAAGTGCTGCCTTTTTCAGATTCATTTGCACACGTTTGCGTATCAAAATTTCAACATGAAATTTCACAAAAATTAGCCATCTGAAAAAGGCAGCACTTTCTGATTAGCCTATAAAGAGGGTGAGTATGCTTCTAAAGCAAAAAACCCTACAAACTAAGCCTAAATGTGAAAATCAAAATTTGGCAAAGTGCGACACGTTTTTGTACATGTGGATGTGTGGCCTATGTTTACGGAGGCAGTCCAGTAAATAGGCCACATTTATGGGGCTAGCTCTATTGTAGACCCGGAGTCATCACACTCGTGATTGATTTACCTCCAGAGGCTATAGCCTGGGCTCTGTGCGCAAACAAGAGAAGGTGTTTTCTTACCACTTTCGAGAGCCCCACGGACAAGACACACCATGTGCGCATCAGTGGCGTAACTACAGGTGGCACGTGCCCCCTCAAGCGGAGGTCCGTGCCCTCGCCCCTTTAAAACCCTAACCCTGCCGAATCCAACAGGATCCAACTACATTGTAAACCTGTTGGAGCCTGTTGGATTGAGCAGTAAACCCCTTGTACATATGTACAATGTACATTTTCAGAGTTGGATTCTGTTGGGTACTGAATGCCAAGTTGGACTCTGTTGAATCCAGCAGACAACTAAAAATTAGGCAAAGTTGGATTCTGTTGGATTGAGCAGGAAGTAACTGTTAGACTCTGTTGCATTTAGCAGGGTAGTCCTGAGGAACCTTTAGGGGGTTAGTATATCAGGAGCCTTCTGTGCCCCCCTTGAAAAATGTGTGCACCCGCAGGTGCCCCCTGGAAGTGTTGCGCCACTGGTGCACGTACTGGTTCGAGCGTGTATAGTGTGTACTAATTTTATTCTGAGTGTGCACAATGCCATATAGCGTCTTCGCATGAGCGTCAGGTGTCATAAGCAATGTGTTCAAATGTCTCCCAGTGGTCTCCCCGCACTCTCCCTCTGTTGCCGTTGAGGGGGTACTTGTGCACGGAGCCCATACTACAGTCCTGGAGTGGTTGTAGGTAGTGAGCGAACATGGGTTTTTTGACCTGGATGAACCAATCTTGAGGCCAAGCCATACTTGGTTGTACTTGACTCACGATGTGGTGGCTTCCATGTATATCGTTGGCAAAATACAGGTCCTTTATCCGTTCGACCAGATGTCCTCTCAATCTTGCATGCCAATCTTATCCTTTTGAAAATGAGTTGTGGCTTCCATGCGTACTCAACATTTCAAGTTATTTTGGATCATACTTTCTGTACGCTTTCAGGAATTTTCAGCAAGCTCAGAGTTGATTGCGAGTCAAGATGATGGACGACGCTGAAGATGTACAGGCAACCATCGACAGACTCGAGAGAGAATGGCTTCTTGCCAACGGTGAAGACAATCACAGCTCGGGCAGCAGGTCAGAGCCGTATAAGCCCAGCTACTGCTACGGCTGTGCCAGGACTGCTGGGGTCGCAGTCTACCGCAAGCCCCAGCCTGACAGAAAAAGAAAAAGAGAAGCCCCAGCATCAAGCAAAGGTACGTTGACAATCAGAGTCTAGATCTAAGTAGACCAAACTCTAATTTCCTTGGAGTGTGTTGGGTTAGGACCCCTTCTGAATCCTCATAAATCCCCCATTCTGTAAACCAGCGCCACATTCTTAACACTTGATCAAAATCAAGTCCCATGTAAAGTGATAACAGATGGTTGGTACAGTTCGGAATCCATTAGACTACGGCCAAACAAGGTGCTGGATTTCCGGGGATAAGAGGTACGGTAGGCCGGGTTAATAGTCAAGTTGTTAGGATGCAGGTGTGTTAATACTCAAATCAAGCATTGTAACCCGTACTCTCATCTTCAGTGTTGTAGTCGAGACCCTGCAAGACCATCATAAGACCAACACAAGACCTCCAGTCTCAATTCAAGTCACAAGCTATTCAAATGAGCTTTGACAAAGGCATTTCTTTGTTATTGTTCATCCACTGTTACTTGTGTCTGGTCTTGTGTCCGGTCTTGTGTCTGGTCTTGTGTCTGGTCTTGTGTCTGGTCTTGTGATGGTTTCGACTACAACACTACTCGTCTTGGGTGTAGATGCATGTATGTGCAATCTGTAGCAATAAACGAACGATCTCCAGGTCGTGCCATAGCAACCCGACCGGGTCAATAGGTCATGTGACAATTAATTCCCCTTTGCAAATTGATTTGAGGCCGTCGAAAGCAACCAAGGTGGCCACTGTACGTGCTCTTCAAAAGTAAACAAGAAATGCTGGGTATGTTTAAACTTAACTTTCCTCCCGTCGTCTAGTACTAGTGTGAAATGAAGCTGAGACACTTTTGAATGCCCCACCGTCACAGCGTTAGACTGAGCCACCATGTTTTTGTTACCCAAGTAACCAGCTCAGTGGGTCTGTTACTTGGGCCAGGCTCGAGTAAGCACGAGAAGTCATGTGAGAGTTACATCGAACGCAGTCACGTTTACCTGAGTAAGCGCGGGGGAAGTAATCGAAACGCACGGATTATTACTTGATTTAATGGAGAAATGGATGTAGGTCGACAAGACCCTAAAATTAAACCTAGTAACGCTGGTCTGAGACCAATGTGGTCGAAGGGATCCTGGTTTTCTAGCCATCCTATAGTCATCCTTAGTCATCCGACTGGGCAAATGAGTCAAACATTTGGGCCAAGATGACAATCGGGCAAGTTTAGGTCTCAAGTCACAGATAGGTACCGTATGAAGAGGACAGTTAGGTTGGCCACAAAATGGCCAGGGCTGGATTAAGTGTCTCGTAGGCCCTAGGCACCAGTGTTCCGTAGGCCCTACTTCAAGTCTGAGTATCACCCGTTATCCACGGAGCAAGACTCCTGTATAACGTCTGATATGTCTAGACATACATGCAACCCGCGCGCCAGCCAATCGGAGCCGACTTTACTAAATCGTGACGTCATTTCATTCCTAAATCAGGACTAAATGGTTTGATTGGTCAATTCGAATGCAGTGTTTTGTAATACAACAACAGCCGGGCGCGATATCGTGTAACATGATACAGACCGCTTGATTCATTTTTTAAAATCCATTGTCTATGAAGTGCAACGGGTGATTGACCGAAGACCCGATATAGAAAGCGCCAGCTGATTGGTCAAAATCTAGGAGGTCAAGAGGTGGGGTCTTGCCTAATTAATCAGCGAATCTATTCAGGCGTAATAGACCACGGTAAATACATAGACTAACTTTGCCCTAGGCATCATCACCAATTTCATGGCGCTGGTAAGCGCAGGCGCCTCACATTTCATATTGATGCTAAGCTACACTAAGCAAGCCAGGCAAAATTGGTAGCTCTGAAAGCCTGTTGGCACCATGTGCTTCAGAACGACAAACTTGACACGTAAATTCAGTATGTACATGTACATAAATACGTGTTCATGCAGCTTCATCAGCATCAGTTGGTGAAATTGAATGTTCTGAGAGAGACACTAAGACTTTTATGAACATGTCTTGTTTGGGTGTGTACGCATGAATTACATAAACCTGAGGACGGGCAGACAACGGGAGAACAACAGGTTCTTTGTTGTCCTCGAGAGTTCATCTCTTGAGATTTGAAGGTTTGCATGGTGGAAAGATACTAAGACAAGATAAGTTTGCGGTAGCACCATGTGGATAAATCTCTTTTGTGAGTATGTAAGGTTCTGGAAAGAACCGGAGAGTCCCTCCGGTTCTTTTCAGAACCACACATACTCAATCTCTTTTGTGAGTATGTGTGGTTCTGGAAAGAACCAGAGAGTCCCTCCGGTTCTTTTCAGAACCGCACATACTCACAAAAGAGATTTATCCACATAAATCTTTTTTGTGAGTATGTGTGGTTCTGGAAAGTTCAGAACCACACATACTCACAAAAGAGATTTAACCACATGGTGCTACCGCAAACTTATCTTGTCTTAGTTCATCTCTTGTTGAAAACGGTCCTCGGTTGTGAGTTTCTCTATCGTGCCTAGTCAATGGGAGAGTGTTATATTATAAGGGCAAAGGGAAAGACAATGCCTTGTCCTTTTAGAGTTTTACATAACACGACTGTATGCATTTGTTTATGGTGTAAATCTTGAACACAATCGTGCAACATCATCGGTGAATCGAGGACAGGAACCAAATCGAGAGCGACCTCGATTAGAAAACGTGTACAAAACTAATGAGTACTCTTGCAAAAAAGTTAAGGTACACAAACAAAAGAAAAAGGAAAGAGGAACAAAAGAAAATCCATGATTTACAGCATAAACAAACGTGTGTGTGTTTTAAGGCCCTCAACATTTTCATAGGCCCCAAATTTTGTGTAGGCCCTAGGCAAAGTGCCTACTGGCTGTGTCTATTGGATAATCCGGACCTAACGTTGGCCCGCTGGGACTGGCAAGAACATATCAATAGGTCAAAGTCGTCCTGTCTCCAAATTGTACATTTTTTTTGTTATCATCTTACACAGGACCAAGCTCACAAAAACAAGGGCCAAAGCAGGCCAAAGCCAGAACCACTTCCAACCTCAGAAGTACCTCCAATCTCAAAGTCTCGGCCCGCATCAAAAAGAAGGCCCTGACTACACTCCTTGGCCAGAAGACTGGGAGAGCGAACCATCCTTCCTCGGAAACCAACGGCACAAGGAAGCCGCTGGCCAAGAAAACAACCAACAAGAAAAGAGAATACATTTGCGATGAGTGCGGGCAGAGCTTGGCGAGCAGTCGCAACCTCAGGCGACATCAGCTGCTGCATTTACAGGTGGTTGTTGACGAGTTCTTATGCACGGAGTGCGGGGAAACCTTCCTCACCGAGAGGCCTTACCTGAAGCATCTGCAGGGACACAAGCTCATCAGCGGCGGCGGGGGCGGGGGCACTGCAGACAAACCCTACGCCTGCGACGAGTGCGACAAAACCTTCAGCCGCTTCGTGTACCTAAGCCAGCACAAGAAAATCCACAACACCGACAGGCCCTTTGGCTGCCAGTACTGCCCCCGCATGTTCAAGAGGGAGCACAACCTCATGGTCCACGAGAAGAGCCACATGGACATCTTGCCTTTCTCCTGTGAAATCTGCGGGATTGCCTTCACACGCAACACCTACCTTAAGCTTCATCAACAGGTCCACACAAAGCACGGCCATGTGTGATAGAACAAGTCGACATTTGTACCCATGCGTTGTTTTGAGTTCCCCCCCCCCCCCACCCCATAAAGAGCCCAAATGTGTTGAACGGTGCTAGAAACCATTATTTTATCAGGGAAGGAAGCATTCAAAACATTCCAGATATGTCTTTTGTCATAGTTGTAAACAGAAACAGCCATTGTGTTTTATTTTCATATCACTGGCACCCTACCAGGCAAAGGCAAATGTTGTCTGTGTGAGCTAAGTACAATGCTAACCATTGTGTACTTCACTGCTTCATATCTTTGGAGATGATCTTCTCCAAAACACTGCATTCAACATCTCACTTTGCGTCGCATGACAAGCACCGTGTCAATCTGCGGATGCTCATTCGCGCCTTAAATATTGGCCAGGTCCCGCAGACTAAACCGTTTTTATTCTTTCATCCAAAAGGGCCTTAAATTTTTTTCAGCCAGGAGTGCCTTTTGAGACTGCTTTATGTGGATTCAAACTACAGACAAATGCGGGCACTTGATCACTGTACACTCACGATCACTGTGCACTCCTTCAATGTAGAAACCATTGTCCAAGTTATTGTGCAAAGCTACTTCCTCATGATGGGTTTATCTGAACAATAGCTAGCACTATGCGTTTTGCCATTGAAGGGGGCCTTCGTGATAGAATTGACAGTGTGCCTTGATCACTGTACACTCACGAGGCCCCTTCAATGGCGAAAATTGTTATCCAAGCTATAGTGCAAAGCTACCTCCCTATGACGGATTGTCTGAACAATAGCTAGCACTATGCTTTTTGCCATTGAAGGGGGCCTTCGTGATAGAATTGACAGTGTGCCTCGATTGGTCTATAGGTACTGTACATCACCTTCATCTGGATGGATATGTGCATGTAACTCAAAATGCATTTGCTAAAGAATAGGCTACTTCAATGAAAGGACTACAAACAATATTTTTTTTGGGGGGGGGGGAATGGAATTGGTTAAATTTGACACTGTCAATTTTCGCCCATTTTGTGCAAGATTGTATGCATTTCTGATATCAGTCATTTCCATTGTCCGAACCCTTGAGAAAGAACGTTGCCTACTTGAATGAAAAACACCTAATAGACTTTGTACAGGTACCGTAGATGGCTTACATGTATGTACTATGTACGAGAGTCAACGTGGGACGTATGTGCCCAAGCTGTGTGCATGCATACGAGTACACATGACCAACTACATACACTGCAGTGACAGTTAATGTCAACTTGTGCATATTGTTGATTACTTGGACCAATCCAGGCACACTATCATTTCTATCACAGGGGCCATCTTCAATAAGGGAATAAATGTGTGCTCGAGAGTTGAGAGGTTTTAATCACTCTGTTTAACCCTAAAAGGGCCGGAATCCGCCCCCCCCCTCAACATTTTCCGTGATAGCCTCTAAAAAAAATTTTTTCGCGACCCGAGCTGTTATGACTTTTTAGCCTCGAGCTTTGCGCATCTTTTGATACCAAAAACATAAAAATCGGACCACGGGTTGCCGCGTAGTGAAAAATTTTCCGGCGCTACGCGCCGTGAAAACTGAATTTTCGCATATACGTCGTGTACACAGAGCAGAATTGCCATTCGTACATATGAATAATTAATTAGCCATAATTCCAAAACCCTTTGACCTATAGTCATGAAATTTCTTGGGTATGTCAAGGAAGAGTGGCTCTATGCATGTATCGAGTTTCAAAAATTTTCGTCACTCGATGGCCGAGATCTAAGGGGGGGGGCCCGAATCCCCCCCCCCCCCCCCCCCCCCCCCCCCCCCCCCCCCCGGCTGAGAGATGGTCAAAATAACCCGGCCCCTTTAGGGTTAAGACCGCTTAGGGTCTGGGTGCTGATAATTACCCGAGCCGGAGGCGAGGGTAATTATCAGCACCCAGACTCTAAGCGGTCTTAAACAGAGTGATTAATACCGACCGAGCACATATTTATTCCCATTCATAAATACCTTTTCTGTCAAAAAAAAATATAATATTTCGGTCAAAAATCCTGATTTTGTTCAACAAGTTCACTTCATGCTTTTTGAAACATCCCCCTAGCTAAATAATGGAGTGTTCAGCTGGCGATTAAGATGTAAACAACCCTTTTATGGAGATTGATGCGCGCGTGGCACGTTCTGTGCGATGTCGCGCGGAACGCACCTGGGGCGTTGCGTTTTGAATTTAGAACTATACAATTCTGACTCGCTGGTAGTGTTGCGCATGCCTACGTGAGGACTGTGAATGTTCAACCAATAAAACGGTAAGAGGCACTGGATTTTTAGGAGTCCACATTTTATGTGACACTGGAAAATTGTTTAAGACAAGCTAGCCATGTCTTTATCATCCATTTAAGACCGGCCACGTGACGGGCTCTCGACCAATAGAAATGGCTAAACTGTCTGAGGTATTTACGAATGGCAATTTAATGTTGTGTTAGATATTGTTAAGATAAGATTCACGAGGCAGTTGCTTTGTACAATCGCATGCGCACTGGTTTTGCCATTGTAGGGGGCCTCCTGCGTGTACAGTGATCACATATCCGCATTCGTGTATCGAGGCATGACATGTTCTGTTAGCAGTGTGAGGGGTTGTACGTAGAAGTTTATATGCAAATCAACTGAGCCTCGTTAATAAACTCAAAGTCAATTTTGTATTACACTTTGGAATCTCATTGTTTTATATTTTTGTGCCTGTGAGGCAATTCATGAAAAACTATGCACAGAAAAGGGAAACTTCTAATTCAACGTGTTAGTTTTGCATTGAATGTGAGAATTTCTGTAAGCCTAAGTTTTGTCAAAAGTTCATGATTTATTTGTATTTTGTTTAGATTAAGAGTTTTTTGTGTGTGTTAAAATCACTATCTGTGTACTTAATGACGGTGTTTTCAGTCGTTTAAATTTTTGGCGGTTGCCTTAATATCAGATTTGCTCTAGGAAGAGGCCATTTAACTTGACCACCAGAAAATCATTTTTTTCCCCCTTCTTTTTGTTTGTAATGTGACATCAATTGTTTGGAGTGATGTTTTGGTCTTGTGCGGTTTATAAAAATAATAAATTTTCACTTTACTAAGCATTTACTGACAGGACAGTTGTAGGGCTGTGCATTTACGGGTATTACAGGAACCTAGTACCCGATTGAAAAAAAAACGGGTACCCGGGTACCTGTTAAAGAAACACAACGCCAAACATTCCAAAATTCAAATCTTGGAAGTTGCTGTTCAGATTGTTTAACAAGGTCTGCACGATAATACAACCGCATCAGCGCATCAATAAGCCATTTCGGCGTTACAAAAATGTACTACTGTGCATGCGCACATCCCATGACAACGATTAGGGTCGGGGGATAAACAGTTCGCCACACGCGTGCAAAATCATAGCGGGGTACCAACGAAATTAAAGAAAAGTTCTTATTTTGAAGTAGATGTAAAATGTTGATTGTTTTCAACGGCACCGTGGTTTACGTTGTTTCGTGTGCTCCAACTTTTGTGCGAACAAAAATTTCCATCTTCTGTTTTACTAGAACAAAATTGCAAAATGTGGATTCGATTACCACGTCCCCCATAGACTTGTGTGCATTTATCTACTTTGTTTATCTTCCGACACTAAATCGTTGAATCTGATGTGCGCACGTGCAGTAGTACATTTTTGTATCTCCGAAATGGCTTATACAGCAAGATACAAGTGTGTACAGTGAGCTTTATAGCTTTAAGGTGTAAAGTACAGCTTTCGTGGGTGTCTTAATTTGAAATATGTTTTGTTTTCCCATGCGGCCTGGTTTATATTTTGAATATTCCCCACTAATGACTTCACAACTTTTATTTTTCATTGTCTGAGAAGTAACCAAGTAATTTGTAAAGTTGGTTATTGGTACTCAATTCCATAATCTGGAACTGTTTCCTGACATTAACAGTCGGGAACTCGGGTACCCGGCTCCGATGCACAACTCTAGACAGTTGGTTTGTTACAAAATGGTTGAAATAAAATATAAAATCTCACCTGATATCTGCATCTTTAAAGTTGTGTACGAAACTAGTTGCCACAGTTTCTCTCTGTCAAGTTTTAAAATGCTGAATTTTTGCAAATTTCAAGAATTATTTTTGCCTGAACTTTGTTTTACTATTTTCAGACAGTTTGTCTCCGGCCAAGGAGATCTTTCATGTTTAAAAAATGTTCACATTAGTAACGGTTTGCCTGAAGAAGTTTAAGTGCCAAGTTTTATAATGCTCGTTTAAAATGTGTAAGTTTGAACTTGTTATATTTGAAGATTTATAAATCAAACTTGTTTAATGCAACTTCTCTTGTTCCATTAAAAAACACACACAATTAGTTTAGAATTTACAGAATTCTCAATTACTTGAAGGATATATTGTGTGGTTGCCCTTAATAAGACATTCAGATTGCATTTTGTTATTAGGAAAACTATTATGATTTATGCCATTTGTAAATCGTTGTAACCATAGTTCATGTGAAAATTGCTTCACATTCAACAGGGTGAGTCAAAAAAAAGGTGACCTAACGAGAAAAAAAATATTAAACAAAAATATATGGTTCGCTCCATTTAATCAATATAACAGGGATAAAGTACATATTATTGATTAGTAACTGTGAAAATGTCAAGTGATTTGCATACTTATGTTCGCAAGTTATGTCTAAGTTAATCAATATCACAAAAATCAGCTGTCCAATGATCATTTACCGTTCAAATACAATGAAACAAGGGCATTTTCCTGCCTTCATGAATGTTTACTTTTGTGGATTGCTTCTTATATCTTGTAATTTGGCCGAATAAATAGTGATAATGATAATAACGAAAATTTGCACAGGAAAACACAAAAATCACCTTTATTTCAGAAAAAAATCTCATATCCAAAACAAGATCTGACAGTAAACACTAAACACAATATTTCAGTCTCGTCAAAAAAAAAATATTAAAAAAAATTGCATTTGTATCTGAATGCCTGTGTGTGATCTCTGGTTCTCACTCAGCTCAATAGCTTCCAATGGCATTCCATGGACAGCTGTGAAAATGGAGTCTTTTATGCATTACTTCCCATAAGCATGGATCAATTCCATTAATTTCTTTTTTTCAGATGAGTGGAAGAACATGCACGTATAATATATGCTTTGGTGGCGTGTCAAATATAATTAATTTTTAAGGGAGAAAAAAATCATTAATCCAGGTTACTTTCTTTTTGACTCGCCCTGTATTTTAAGCATTTAGTTGTTTTGACTTCCATATATCAAGTGGTAAAGCACATATGAAATATGTCAAAATGAAACTTTGTTCTACTTGAATATTAGAATGTTTTCCAAACCTCATTTTTGAATATTTGTACGAATTACTCTACCTCTGAAATGAAAAGAAAAAAGGTATGAATTATTCTTGAAAAGGTTTAAATTTTCCATTTCCACTTACCTCTAAACCTTTACAACACTCAAGAAATGACTACACATCAACAGTCAAATAACTTGAAACCACAGAAACAGTAAAGGGTATACAATTGTTATTGTCATTGAAATGATGTTCAATTTTTGCCATTTTTTACCCATAAAAAGTTACTTTCATTGTTGCTATTGGTTAGACTTTCAAATGAGGCTTGAAGAATCAGGACTAATTATGTTGGTTTTCTACCTAGTTTATCGATATTTTTGTATTACTTAATATACAACTTTATTTGGTATGTTCGACATTTTATAATAAAGCATTTTACACGAAGTTGAGTTTACATGAAGTGTGTGTTGTTGTTTTTTCCGGAAACAATGTCACAATGCTTGTCTCGGTTCTTTGGTATACCTAACTCCTCTAGGCATTTTTGCTAGGATGCAACCTCAATCCTGCAAAATCCTCAAACTGCCTCCGTGTAAAAATTGCATACAGCCCCAATCCTGCAAAATCCTCGGTTATTTCTTTCATGTGGTCCTTGGAGGGGTGACCTCTGCCTCAATCCTGCAAAATCCTCCAGTAATCACTGTCAATATGTTGAGGCAGAGCCAGTGACATAGTGGGGCAGTGCCGAGGATTTCAAGCCTATATTTATGCACAGCTGAGCATAAACAACCGGTTCGGCCCAAGACCTTGACACAGTGCATCCTCCAATATCAACCCCACATTTTGCCATATTGCCTTAATCGTGCAAAATCCTCCATTTTTGCAAAGAGGATTTGGGAGGATTTGGGAAGGTTTTGGTTAAATGTATACCGTCCGTGATCTTCAAGAATTATTCGATTTCTTTTTTTCCCCAAACCAATTTTCAATTTGTAGGTTAATTTTAACAAACGCAAATTATTTTTTTGCATTAGGCGTCTGCAGCCCTCTGAAAAAAAGGCTTTTAATTCGGGCTGCTTCTGCTGTTTTAATTCACAAAAGATATGTCTGAATTTCTTGTCAGGCCGACATGTCTCATTTAAGCCAGTGCCAGGCATGATGTAGAGCACCGTTGAAATGGTATAGCGCCCTCTATAACATTAGGTAGGCTTTTCCCCGTTTTCAAAGCTTGTGGGTGCCGTCCCAACTTGGGCGGAATATAATAGTCGAAAGTGTATTCCTATGGCTATCATGACGTCGGCAAATTATACCCTTGCTGTCAAACTGATAAAAAAAACTACGGTAAACAGAAGGGAAGTTGTGGGTCGACATCTGTAAATTTGGAAATAGTACCACCGTGGTACCAGGAAGTAATTCGACAAATTATTTCCGACATCGTAATTGATTATGTCGTCCTTGAGCTAACCCTCGCTACCCTCGCCAACCTTGGGGTGTCAAAAAACCAGACCCAGGTCGAGACCGCAAACTATTATAGTTAGGGGAGGGAACTTAACATGAATATAATTGTTAAAGAATATTTTGAAGGATAAGTAGTTGGCAACAAAACCTGACTGTCAAGATAAATTCGGGGAGGTGTCTGAAATTTGCGAGGTTAATTGGGTACAGAAGTTGATAATGACGCTCAAGCTGCAAGTTTGTAGGGAGGGGTGCGGTGGGGTGGCCTCCCATAATATTACTCATTCACATAATCCAACCGTCTCATTAATAACGTTGCTTTTGCGATCAACTTGGGCAATGTTCACTCAAATATAAACTTATATTGTGACAAGATAAAATGGATCTTGAATTATTCGATCACATCAAAGCACAGCAAAGACTAATAAAAAGGCTTATTCCCGTTCATGTCGGAGTGTTATATGTAAACAGGTAATTAAAAAAAGAGACTACTATGTAATTAGAGCAACTTAATAGGCCGATTACAAAATTCTGGTATCTTCTGCTGGTGGTAGTTCGCGAACAGAAATCATAAGAATCGGATGGCTTCAAAATTCGTTCAAAACCATGGAGCTATAAAAAGGGATATGTGTACATGAATCACTTAATAGCAATTTTGGATGTTGTAGTTGAACGTTTTGATCAAGTTATAGTTTTACTATTGATTCACTCACGTACACCTACGTACTTGCTTTTGTGTTCAATAATAAACGTCACATTTTATCATATTAGTCGCCTGCATACTTGTCAAATTAATCACGCGTCGCTTGTGACACACGTTCACGCCCCCTCTCAAAACCAAATCCATTTTTCGTGGTCATGAACATGTATTTCACTTCGCGCCACACATTACTCCAAGTCGTTTCGTGTTGAATGTTCTCAGCGTTCCTAGCACACTCTACCGCACACAAAATTTGAATTCGATCATCCTATTATGCCTTTACTTTCCAGATAAGATAATGTTTGTATGCTTCCCCAGAAGACTCAGCACAATGCAGCTCTGATATGCTCTAGTGGTTACGAAGAACAAGTGGAATGCTGTTTTGTCACAGGTAGGGACATTCCATTTGCAACACAGGGTAGTTTTCCGAAGATCATAAAAAAGTGGCGCGTAATTTTAGAAACAAAATATCATGTATCAATTTATTTAAATAAAAAGAAGTATTCCGTAATATTGCCACAATTAAAAAAAAAAATTACAGGTTTTCCAGAATATTTGCACATTTTATGTTATCGCAATTGGCGCTGACGCCCCTCTGTAAAGAAAACGAACGGTCTTTTGAGCTATTATATTTGCATAAGCTAACGGTAGATGGCGAATTTACCTTTAATTTACATACAAGTATCATGGCGTCTGTGCGGGAATGATCATGCGTACCCCACGAAACGGTAAGTTTTTATTACAAATTGTACGATCTTGGTGATTTACAAAAACTGTGATCTCCTCAGTAGAATCCTCTGTTTATGTGCATGCATGAGATCGTAATGATGTTTTTTTATTTGCAAATTTGGAACCGTTTTTTGAGAGATTTGTTGAACAGGGGTGCAAATTTTTTTTGGAAAGGGTGCATGCGTTTTGCTACGTGCGGGTTAGTGTCAGTGTGTGTCATTCGATCGGCATTCTTGGCATGACAATGTTGGGGATCGCACGATCAAGTGGGCTCAGCGCTCAAAAGCAGGCGGTACCCGTTCCATGAACGTGTTACGCTATATCAGAATTACATTATAATTGCTGTAAATATTGGTGTAAATATTGCTGAAGTTACAATGTAGTGTGTCAATTGGACATGTTTGGAAGGAAGCTGCTGGAAGAACGGGAAAGAATTCCATTTACGTACGCCACTTGACACCCTGTGTACAAACCCTATGAGACTGGTCTGAAAAATTCTAAGTGTTTTCCAAGTAAATGCTTCAATATTTTCCCCGCTAAATTTCACTTTTTAGGACATGTTATCCCTCTCTGATGGTTGATGAGTCATTGCAGGGAAAGGAAAGAATGTTGTAACCTGACGCTACCTCAGCGGTTGTGTACTGAGTCTATGGAGAGTCAAGAAAACTTTTTCTAACAAAATTGGAAATGTTTCTCAGTCTCAAATTCATGTCTTATCATTTTAGCAATTACTGACCTTCGTTGAGATGATATATGAAGAAAAAAGCAGCGTCAGGAAACATTCTTTCCCAGGCAAAAAAACAAGTGGCGTACGTATATGGAATTCCTTCCGATGAAGGTACTGTCATGACTGTTGAACATCTTGAGTGGGAGATTTCGACATAAAAATTATTGAAAAAGTATTTACACAAATTTCCGTTTCACTCAGTAGTCCAGTGTTTGACAAGTTAGGCTATTGATGGACATAGGCCTAACATGCATTTAAATAAGCATTTTTTACTGTCTTGCTACATGCAGTAATAAGTACAGGTTCTAGAGTCTACTGGTATACTGCTAGTTGTATCTAAATCAAAGAACAGCATTTCATGCCATTTTAATCATTATTATATATAATAAATGTGTGCATGGGTGCCTTCTAAGTTATGTGATTTTTGGTTGTGACAGTGTATGATCAAGAATAAAGATCAAGATGAGATTGAGTGCAAGTTAAAGGGAATATACAACATTTGCAAACATCGAAAAACAAAACTACCAAATTTTTACGAAATACCTTAGTAGGATGTTGGTAAATAAAAGTCTAAAGATTCCTGTAAAATTATGGCACCTGGTGTGAAGTCATTTTCAAGAAAAGTGATATTTTGAATAAATTTCCAATGGTGGTCGGCCGACCACCGTTGGAAAAACCTAACTATTTTTCAACTACTGCTCCAAATTTACCATCTTTTTTTTCAGTCTAAGTTTTGTTTGCTATTGGTACATGTTCATGAACGGGTGCAGGCCAGCTAGACTGGTTCCCTTACCTTACGGTTATCCAGCATCGATAAATTGATCAATCTCATCTTTAGTGGAGTCAGGGAACCAGACTACTTGAACATTTTAGTTTTGCTTGGTTTTTCCAGCATTTTCAAACACAAAACCTAAAACATGACAGTGTAACAATATTTGATCTATTATACTAACCACACGAATAGTTCATTTCTGAAAATTACAGCAAAAGCCAATGATGTACATGTACATTCCCTTTAATATCAGGTTAAACACTTGGGCATGTCAGGGCACTTTTTCCCCATGAAATTGACATTTCAAATGATGAACACAAACATGTTTATTTTAAAAAAAAATTGGGGTGAAAAAGTTTCCAAATATGCATAGTTTTCATTCAAATTTCATCCTGAAGTTGAATTGAAAAAAAAATGTAATTTTACAAGAGTGGGAAGAGAAACAATATTATTACTTAGTGCAAAAAAACCTGCAAGATTTACAAAGACTTCTCTGAGATTTTTGCTTGAAAATTAAATGTAATAGTTGTATTCCCATAGAATAACTCTAACAGTCACGAATCCTCCAATTTTCATATGATTTTGTGACTTATTTTCGTTCCTTGAGTCAGCAAGAATTCATTTTCTTCTCACAAATGGTATCCATAAACTCTAAATAAAGTACATCATGTACATTTATACCAGTAGGGGCCTATGTAAATCAGATGGACACACAATAGATATTCTGTGCTCAGAAGCAATATTTCATCCCACTAGGCAAACAGCCCAATTACTACATGTACTATATTGTGGTTCAATGAATTGGCATGCAACTAATCTGTGTGATTGTGAGCCGTTATGATTTTTATTTCGCTCTAAAGTTTGCGGGAGGCCTAACAAATTGATTCGTGCCCGTTTGGTCCTCCACGACCAGCTCCTTCGGTTCCATGGATATTACTTCAGGGTCATTGCATAATACCCTGTGCATTGTTTGATGTTATTTTTTGTGTTTACCGGTAATCCCACTTGAGAATGGGCAGGCTCCTACTAGTGTGTGGTGTTCAAGCGCAGTGCTTTTCTCTTTCATGAGAACACTTATTTATCGGGGGTCAATTCAAAATCTTTGGTATTTCTCTGCAGTGTACAGGAAAAGTATTTTTGTGGAGTATTCAAACTATGTACATGTTTTCACATGGGGTGAACGTGTACGTGTATTGTTGATGTACCCTAACGTGGCGCGGCCCCTAACGAGGCACACTATGATTTTTCGTCTGTAGCACCTAGTTAGAGCAAAAGTTTTAACTGAAATTTCACAGAAAGTGAAATTTCATCAAGTTCTAAACACTCCCGTTCATAAATCGCGAGTTTATCCGCCCGTTACAAAGTTAGAAGAAAACATTATTTTGGCGTGATTTTCCGATTTTATTTTGAAGTGCAAAGTGAACCCTTTGAAAATGCCCCCCAAAATAAGAAAAAAATTCTTGACAAACTTCTCGTTGGGTATGTAAGTAGAGATAGTAATGGTTTATCAGAATTTATCAACTTTACAGAAATTCTCACATGTATGTTAATTTGGAATTTTCCGAGATTTATTTAACTTAAGTGCGCCACGTTAGGGAACACTCAGCCAATTTTTGCTCAATTTCCGGACGTCATCGTTTTTGAATATCGGATTAAATTTCATGACACTGAAATTGTTCACAGTGGTTAAATAGCAAGCATTAATAACGTAAAAGTACCAGTATTTCACTGCATGAATTTGAGGTTTGTCAACAAAGAGGTTTGGCAACAATACACGAGAAAAGTCAGGTAAACGTAGAAGTGCGCCACGTTAGGGAACACAACTATACATGTAGACATACTACTGGTACATTAATTTACAACCAAAAACTTCAAAAAGTCACCACATATTGTAGAATAACAACCGGATTATTTTTGGCAGAAAAACAACATTTTTGAAAAAGGCCAAAAATATGTAAACTGAGATATCAAGTCAACAGTGGTCAAAGTCAAACGCAACAAATATTTACTCTAGAGGGTCATTTGTACCATATTTGTACGATACTTCTCATTTTGCAATCACCTGCAATCCGATGAGTTGAGAAAGAAATTGGAAGTCATATCTTTGCCATAGCTTTTGGTTGGTTCTAAAGGCCCTATGTTTTGATTTCACAAGAAAACTCAGAACAGAAAAGTACAAAATGTATACAGTCAGCCGGTTAATGTGTGACTGTCACTGAATTAGAGACAGCATTATTGATTTGCTGGAAATAATCAATGAACAGGTTTTTTTTTTATTCTAATGAAGTACATTGTAGGCCACCCTACTTGACACAAGTGTGCCTCACAATATGCATGGCTGAAGGTCATGTGGGGACGTAGTCCAGATGCAGTAGGAAAATTCAGACCACAAGAAGAGTTCTACATGACTATATGGTTGTGAAACATAATGCTTTTTGTTGTATTTTATCAACAACAACAAAAATGGAATAATAAAAAAGGAAGTTTGTTGTCGGAAAAGTTTGAAAGAGTTTTGTGAAAGATGAACACAGAATGTCTTCAAGATAAAATACACTGGACATCTAGTTATTATACTTAATTTAAAACTTGTAAAACTTGGTTGCCTATATTCTAACTTATATGTACCGGTATGAGACAGTGTGACTATAATTTACAAAATCATGTTAATGAATACATGTTGGTTAAACTAAAGGTTCACAACAGATGCGTAATACATACATTATTTGGGTTTTGACATGTTTTGTGTTTTCTGTCAATGCCACATACTGTGAAATGTCATGAAAGAGAACTGTCACATCTTAATTCTCACGGTGGGGGATGATACGTGGCTCCCAGGAATCTGATTGGGTGGCAACTTTGGGTCAATTTGCACAGCCAGTCCGGGCATTCTTAGGCCAACATGGGACTGCATGTTGGCGGCCAGTGGGGTCAAATCTTGACAGTTTTTGGCCGCTTCCAGCGTAGACTGGACTGATAGGGTTGCGATCTGATAACAAACAGTCTTCAGATCATCACTTTTTTTTTCCTTTTATCCCTAACGTCCTAGCCATTACTTTGTGATAAAGAACTGAGTTCTAGTACAGAACACTACGAAAATTATGTATGCAGGCACCATGTACCAAAACATATTCTGTGTTTTGTGCCCACTTACATATATGTACATGTATGCTGAAGTACTGCATACTACAGTTTACTACAAATAGTATTTTGTAGCTTTAGGTGAGGTTAGGGTTAATTAAAATACAAGAAGTTGCCCTCCTACTTCCCGAAGTTGAAATTTACAAACATGTACCGGTACATTTAGATAATGCATTAAATTCAACAACACAACATTTAAAACAAACACAGTTGATGGATGTATGTATGCATACAAAACGCAGTCATGGAACATATTGTAAAACCCAAAGTTTGTTTTATGTATCAGACTTTTTAACAATATACAGCATTTGCAAACATCAATAACCAAAACTATCAAATTATTATGAAATACCTCACTTGAC